TCGGTCATTGGAGTCTAACCGACTAGAATACCGTACGACTATCGGGCATTTAGGTCCGAGTAAGTGTCGGGATTGCGGTATGGGAAATATGGTCCCGCTGGCAAAGTAAGTCCAGGGGACGGGAAGACCAGTAGTGTCTGGTTCCGGAGTACGGCAAGAGAAGTCCGTCTCCAGTCAGCCGTGTTGTATGCTGAATTAATAGCAAGGTCCAGTGAATGGGAGAAGTCGTCCTGTTCAGCTGTACGACGCGTCCAGAGAGTGGGACGCCGTCATCCTGGTATCTGCAGTAGTCCAGGAGAGGTCACTACACAGTGAGAGATCGAGAGCTGTGAGGACAAATGAACGATGTGCGAATGTCAGCTGTGATCAATAACTACGTCTCTGCATTTGTGTCATGTATCCTGTTAAATAAACTTGTATGACGGTGTCATCGTCGTCGAGTTGTCTTGTTAAGAAAGGAAGCTGAAGAGTACCTGCTAGACACTTGGTAGTGTGCTGACTCAATTTAGCACACAACAGTGGGCTAAGTGAGACATCAAGGTAGGTGGGCTAAGTGAGACATCAAGGTAGGTGGGCTAAGTGAGACATCAAGGTAGGTGGGCTAAGTGAGACATCGAGGTAGGTGGGCTAAGTGAGACATCAAGGTAGGTGGGCTAAGTGAGACATCAAGGTAGGTGGGCTAAGTGAGACATCAAGGTAGGTGGGCTAAGTGAGACATCAAGGTAGGTGGGCTAAGTGAGACATCAAGGTAGGTGGGCTAAGTGAGACATCAAGGTAGGTGGGCTAAGTTAGACATCAAGGTAGGTGGGCTAAGTGAGACATCAAGGTAGGTGGGCTAAGTGAGACATCAAGGTAGGTGGGCTAAGTGAGACATCGAGGTAGGTGGGCTAAGTGAGACATCAAGGTAGGTGGGCTAAGTGAGACATCAAGGTAGGTGGGCTAAGTGAGACATCAAGGTAGGTGGGCTAAGTGAGACATCAAGGTAGGTGGGCTAAGTGAGACATCAAGGTAGGTGTGCTAAGTGAGACGTTGAGGTAACTGACGCTTGCTGTCGAGGGATGTACCACACGCTTGCCAAGTGTTTAGGGGTTTTATTCAGAAAAGCCATTCCCCCACACTCAGAAACATACACACATATATACAGGATTTCTTCAGCCAACCAAGACCGCACATACTCATTGCCACGGCACTTGCTGATGGTGATTATAACTGGATCAATGGAAGGCTAAACGAAACAAGAGCACCACCACACGCCAGGGTACACGGAACAAGTGAACAAACACAATATATCTGGCACATGTTACATGTTCTATCCTACCCGCCAATATTGTTGTCAAGCTCTGTTGTATAATAAACATACCCAGAATAACCTGATAGTGCGGCCAGTCTCTTTATTGTGGACCAGCACAATGCGACGAAGATGAACTAGTGATCAGCCTCTCATTGTCAGCGAACCACGCCTGCCAAATACACTCACATGGGCAGTCTCTCAGATATGGACGGTACATCCCAACAAACTATGGACAAGATGGCTACTACAGGCCACACCCCCCGACCGCACAGATACACCCACGTGATGTGCAGTGTTAGTCGTCTGGCCTTTCTCCCTCTCAGAGACCCCGCCAACCGAGGACCCACATACATGGTGAAAAGAATCCAGACTTCCTGTCTTCTACCTAGTCACTAACTTTAGTTATCACTCCTCAAAGTTCTGTTAACGAGCTTTCTCAATACCTCTCCATCAAAACCACGTGGGTCGACACACGCGAAGTGACCTTCTATGCACTTGAGGGCAACACATCAACCAGTTCGCCACATAGCGGCAACTGTGCCGACCCAGCACACACACATTGGCCGGACAAACGTCTGCTCTAGAAAAAATACTGACAGAATAATGAAGTAAAACTCATTATCCACCACAGACATTCAGACAGCTTACGAGCTCTAACAGAATAAAAGCAGCTTATTAAAACTGTCACACAGCATAGTCCTTGCGTCAACAGGACTCGAACAATTCTCGCTTACGTCCACATACTAAAACTGACGGAACTGCGACTTGTTGCCTCAAACTACCAGAGGACTGGAACAGTTCTCACTCACGTCCACATACTTGAACTCACTGAACTACGACTTGTTGCCTCAAACTACCACAGGACTTTTCCCACCTGCGGTCAAGTCCGCGTGTATCTTACTTTCTCGCCAAAACCGGAGTGTTTGCAGTCTCTCGTCTCGTGACTATTAGGCAACCCGTGTTTCACAGCTTTGAGTGGCTCGTAAGTTCACAAGTACAACCCGTCAACACAACTTTAAGTGGCTCATAAGTTCACATGTACAACCCGTGAACACAACATGAATGCTCGTTATTTCTCTCTAGTGCACGTATTTCAATAATATCGCTCACTCTATCAGATAATTGCCCTGACAGTCGCTTGGTCTTCATATCGCCATGTACTAATTTTCTGTGCAGGCATTCTCTGGGTGGCCAAAGGTAATCTAAGACCCGCCTTCTACCCATTAGTTATCTAAAATGGGACTTTCTTTGGGAATTTAATGGTATTGAAAGAAACCGCATCATTACTCATATCAACACATTACTTATACTACACACGTGTACACGTAGACACATCAACACATTACTTATACTACACCCGTGTACACGTACACACATCAACACAATGCCTATACTACACACATATACACGTAGACACAGCAACACATCCCTTAAACTACACACGTGTACACGTAGACACAGCAACACATCACTTATACTACACACATGTATACGTAGAAACATCAACACATTACTTATAGTGACAAATCAACACATTACTTATACTACACACGTGTACACGTAGACACATCAACACATTACTTATACTACACACTTGTGCAGGTTGACAAATCAACGCATTACTTATACTACACACTTGTGCAGGTTGACAAATCAACGCATTACTTATACTACACACGTGTACACGTAGACACAGCAACGCATTACTTATACAACACACGTGTACACGTAGACACATCAACACATCACTTATACTACACACTGTACACGTAGACACAGCAACACATCACTTATACTACACACGTGTACACGTAGACAGAGCAACACATCACTTATACTACACACGTGTACACGTAGACACATCAACATATCACTTATACTACACACTGTAAACGTAGACACATCAACACATCACTTATACTACACACTATAAACGTAGACACAGCAACACATCACTTATACTACACACGTGTACACGTAGACACATTAACACATTGCATATACTACACACGTGTACACGTAAACACATCAACACATCACTTATACTACACACTGTACACGTAGACACATCAACACATCACTTATACTACACACGTGTACACGTAGACACATCAACACAATGCTTATACTACACACGTGTACACGTAGACACATCAACACATCACTTATTCTACAAACGTGTACACGTAGACACATCAACACATCACTTTTACTACACACGTGTACACGTAGACTCATCAACACAATGCTTATACTACACACGTGTACACGTAGACACATCAACACATCACTTATACTACACACGTGTACACGTAGACACAGCAACGCATTACTTATACTACACACGTGTACACGTAGACACATCAACACATCACTTATACTACACACTGTAAACGTAGACACAGCAACACATCACTTATACTACACACGTTTAAACGTAGACACATCAACACATCACTTATACTACACACTGTACACGTAGACACATCAACACACCACTTATTCTACAAACGTGTACACGTAGACACATCAACACATCACTTTTACTACACACGTGTACACGTAAACACATCAACACAATGCTTATACTACACACGTGTACACGTAGACACATCAACACATCACTTATACTACACACGTGTACACGTAGACACAGCAACGCATTACTTATACTACACACGTGTACACGTAGACACATCAACACATCACTTATACTACACACTGTAAACGTAGACACAGCAACACATCACTTATACTACACACGTTTACACGTAGACACATCAACACATCACTTATACTACACACTGTACACGTAGACACATCAACACACCACTTATACTAAACACGTGTACACGTAGACACATCAACACATTGTTTATACTACACACGTGTACACGTAGACACAGCAACACATCACTTATAATCCACACGTGTACACGTAAACACATCAACACATCACTTATACTGCACACTGTACACGTAGACACATCAACACATTGCATATACTACACACGTGTACACGTAAACACATCAACACATCACTTATACTACACACTGTACATGTAGACACATCAACACATCACTTATACTACACACGTGTACACGTAGACACATCAACACAATGCTTATACTACACACTGTACACGTAGACACATCAACACATCACTTATACTAAACACGTGTACACGTAGACACAGCAACACATCACTTATACTCCACACGTGTACACGTAAACACATCAACACATCACTTATACTACACACTGTACACGTAGACACATCAACACATCACTTATACTACACACGTGTACACGTAGACACATCAACACAATGCTTATACTACACACGTGTACACGTAGACACAGCAACACATCACTTATACTACACACGTGTACACGTAGACACATCAACACAATGCCTATACTACACACGTGTACACGTAGACACATCAACACAATGCTTTTACTACACACGTGTACACGTAGACACATCAACACATCACTTATACTACACACGTGTACACGTAGACACATCAACACAATGCTGATACTACACACGTACACGTAGACACATCAACACATCACTTATACTACACACGTGTACACGTAAACACATCAACACATTACTTATACTACACACGTGTACACGTAGACACATTACTTTTACTCTACACATAGATACAGTAAACAGGTGATCTAGTTTCCGCCTACCTGTAGGCACAACAAAGATGTTGGCGTTGGTTGTATGGCTGGAAACGTAGGTGCCTGTTGTAGGTGCATGGTGGATAATTTGCCCTCTATGATTGTGTTGTTTCAAACAGCAACAGATGATAGTGATTACCACTGCTACAGCACAGACCCCGCCCAGCACGATCCCTATAATGGCCCCGGCGCTGAAAGTTGACAAGGATCATTGCAGCAATGTAGCGATCTATCAGTGTATTTACATATCATTGCAGCAATGTAGCGATGTATAAGTGTATCTACATATCATTGCAGCAATGTAGCGATGTATCAGTGTATTTACATATCATTGCAGCAATGTAGCGATGTATCAGTGTATCTACATATCATTGCAGCAATGTAGCGATCTATCAGTGTATTTACATATCATTGCAGCAAAGTAGGAATCTATCAATGTATCTACTTATTATTGTAACAATCTATCAATGTATCTTCATTTCATTGCAGCAATGTAGCGATCTATCAGTGTATCTACATATCTTTGCAGCAATGTAGCGATCTATCAGTGTATCTACATATCATTGCAGCAATGTAGCGATCTATCAGTGTATCTACATATCATTGCAGCAATGTAGCGATCTATCAGTGTATCTACATATCATTGCAGCAATGTAGCGATCTATCAGTGTATCTACATATCATTGCAGCAATGTAGCGATCTATCAGTATATCTACATATCATTGCAGCAATGTAGCGATCTGTCAGTGTATCTAATCATCATTGTAGGCTTAAGTCCCGGCCTGGCAGTCAGTAATCAGTTTAGTCGCTTGCTGTTTGTAGGATCAAATTTAATCAACCGGAAAAAGTAGTTTGGAGTTTTTTGAGATAACATTTTATGAGTAAATTTGGCCGTGTTAAAATTTAAACATTTACTAACTGGCAATAATCTTAGATGGTTATAGATTTTAGTGTTATCGATATGTTTTCTTTCTGAAACCAGGCGTTTAAGCACGGTTTTGAAGGAAACAGTCTTTTAAGATTGGATTTGGCGCAGCCATTCCAAAATGTGAAACAATAGTCGACATGTGTTTGGATGTAGGATGCATAAAATGCTTGTCTTGCATCTGTGTGTAGAGAGTCTGACGGGCTGCTACTGCAACTCATTTCCTCATGGCTGTGTTAGTTTTTTTTTCTCTATATTCTCCACTACAGACATGCTCACCTCGTACACGAGCAATCGACAGAGGCACTTTAGAATCAACATGAACTGTAGACACCAAACTTTGAACTTCCTGACGAGTCTGCATTGCCAGATAGTAAGCAGGCCTGTAGCCAGTGACTAATGTGTTCGCCGGACTTCCGCTCTATCAGATAACTTCAAACCGTAGACGCGGACAGGGCTCTTCACCGGTTCCTCCAGGACCGTGGAGATCCTTTTCTTTGCTACCGTGAAACTGACTGCCGCCACCTTACCTTTAAAGGACTGAGGAACTTGTGGATTTCTGAGGCTTGAACTACATGCTGCACCATTCAACCATGTGGTCCAAACTCTTTAGAATAACCCAGGCATGATCCTCACAGCCTGTTATGATATTTGTGTTATTGTAGTGAGTCATTTTCTCCTCATTAAGTTACGCCCGATAGATGACGTCAGTAATAAATGTAAGGCGAATGCTTTGACTGACTGAGATAACACGAGATTTATGTCTTGAGTTTCATGAGAGACATCTGAAAGTCAGGTTTTATGTGAAACATGATTGTTCACGTGAACCATAAAGGTTGACTGGCAGTATTCGTGTGAAATGCGAATTATCACGGGCCAGACACGACTTTCAACGGTGGGGAATTCGTGAGAATGAAATTATCCAGAATATTCGAGAACATGACTGATCAGAGGGCTATATAATAGCGAAGAAAGGTTTGTGAGGCAGTCTCGTTTAGCCCAAGGGAAGGTGTATGTGTTCGGAAGAATGTTGACGTCTGAATAGCGTGATTTCCCAATGCCTACCTGGCATAAAATAGCGGCTGACGGAAACGGTGGCCAGCTGTGAATGACTGTCGTTCTGGATGGAGGGAGCTACTGTGTTTCGCTAAGTTGTGTGAATTCTACGATGTTACAAAGGTATGATTGACTGTTTAGAGCATTAAATTAATAATCGATGAGTGATATTGTCGTGTATAAACATTTACTGACTGCAACATCAGCGAGTGAAAATAAACAGTACGTGTAACTTCTGAACGTCTGCCAGCGTCCATGTTTTCTCGTTCTTGTCAGTTAGTGAATGGAAAGATGCGGTGACTCATTCGAGCCAGCAATTAATAACAATGAAGATCACTGCAGTTATCCATAAATGCACGCAGTGACGCTATCCAGGGTTGCTCAATTTGAAGGCCTTGCCCGTAGCCGGCAGCCCTGTTCACATAGACACACCAACATCCAGCTCCGTCATCATAGACACACCAACATTCAACCCTGTCCACATAGACACATCAACATCCAGCCCTGTCCACATAGACACACTAACATCCAGCTCCGTCCACATAGACACACCAACATCCAGCCCTGTCCACATAGACACACCAACATCCAGGGTCAGCTTGACCTGCCATAGGCTAACTTGACTACCGCAGGGTCAGCTTGACCTACCACAGGCTAACTTGACTACCGCAGGGTCAGCTTGACCTGCCATAGGTTAACTTGACTACCGCAGGGTCAGCTTGGCGTGCCACAGGTTAACTTGACTACCGCAGGGTCAGCTTGGCCTGCCAAAGGGTTCCCTTTAATTTCCTAAATCTTCTCGGAGATTAACTTGACCTCTGGTTTTGTAGAATCTGCAGGCCAGACACCGTGGCTGTAGTTCTATCCGTCAACAGCGGCAGGGAGGTGATGTGCAGACAATCAACATAACGCATTGAACAAAACAATTATTGGCAACTGCTTGTTGTCTTGGGATAAAACATCCAGAGATGATGACTGGCAACAAACACATGTACCACAACAGTTGATAAACACTAGCCGGCTTGTTCAAACATAGCACACAGGGAGTGGCTGGGAGCCGGCTTGTTCAAACATAGCACACAGGGAGTGGCTGGGAGCCGGCTTGTTCAAACATAGCCCACATGGAGTGGCTGAGAAACATGGGCGCCCAGACCAGAATAATAGCCAAGCTAGATGTGTCCTGACGTGTATTATTTGTCTACTCTAAATCATTGCTCATGGCGTCATCAATTGTTGTCTTGTAACGCCGTGACTTGACGAGGCTAGAGCGACGGCGACTTTGATACACTATTGGCCGAGTGTCGGGTCTTGTTTTTGATGATCTGACTGAATCTCTCTCTCTCTCTCTCTCTCTCTCTCTCTCTCTCTCTCTCTCTCTCTCTCTCTCTCTCTCTCTCTCTCTCTCTCTCTTGTCTTCTTTCTTTCTTTTTCTCACTCCTTTTCTCCCTTTCTGTCTCTTTCTCTTACTTGCTTCCCTTTGTTCCATTGCCTCAATAGCCTCTATCACTCTCTATCGCTTGCCCTTCTTCGCTTACCTCTCTCTTACTATCTATCTAATTTCCTCCTCTCTCACCACAAGTGTTGGTCTATGTGGATGTAAGTGTGTCTGTGTAGATGTTGGTGTGTCTGTTTCGATGTCGGTATGTCTGTTTAGATGTTGGCCTGTCTGTGTAGGCGTCGGTGTGTCTATGTAGATGTTGGTGTGTGTAACGTGAATTCCCGAGGAAATCCTAGAGAGTTCCCGATGGGGAGGACAAGGTCAGAGGACCAGTGATATGCGAGAAAAACGAGATAAGTGGGTCTCGAGTATCCAACGGTGAGCGAATAAGGGATACAAGAAAAGCGTGAGACTGGAACAGAAGACGTAAACCGAGAGACGGTAGTAAGATAGTTGAAGTTCGGACCTGGATGAGTGCGGTCGAATGTGAGAGAACACCTGATTAGCATGGAGGACTTGTGAACATGTATAATTGTTCGAGAGAAGACATGTGTCTGTGTGGATGTTAGTATGTCTGTGTGTGTGTTGGTGTGTCTGTGTGGGTGTTAGTGTGTCTGTGTGTGTGTTAAAGTGTCTGTATGGGTGTTAGTGTGTCTGTGTGTGTGTTGGTGTGTCTGTGTGGGTGTTATTGTGTCTGTCTGTGTGTGTTAGTCTGTCTGTCTGGGTGTTGGTGTGTCTGTGTGGGTGTTGGTGTGTCTATGTGGGTGTTAGTCTGTCTGTGTGGGTGTTGGTGTGTCTATGTCGGTGTTGGTCTGTCTGTGTGGGTGTTGTGTGTTTGTTGTGTTGTGTTTGGGTTTGGTGTGTCTGTGTGGTTGTTGGTGTGTTGTGTTGGTGTGTTGTGTGGTGTTCGTGTGTCTGTGTGTATGTTGGTGTGTCTGTGTGTATGTTGGTGTGTCTGTCAGTGTGTATGTTGGTGTATCTGTGTGTATGTTGGTGTGTCTGTGTGGATGTTAGTGTGTCTGTGTGGATGTTGGTTTGTTGTGTGTCTGTGTGTGGATGTTGTTGTGTGTTGATGTTGGTGTTGTGTTGTGTCTGTGTAGATGTTGGTGTGTTTGTGTGGTGTTGGTTGTCTGTGTGGATGTGGTGTGTGTTGTGTGGATGTTGGTGTGTGTGTGTGGATGTTGGTGTGTTGTGTGGATGTTGGTGTGTTTGTGTGGATGTTGGTGTGTCTGTGTGGTTGTTGGTGTGTCTGTTGTGGATGTTTGGGTGTGTGTGTTTGTTTGTTGTGTTTGTGTGGTGATGTTTGTTTGTTTGTCCGTGTGGATGTTGGTGTGTCCGTGTGGATGTTGTGTGTGTCCGTGTGTTGATGTTTGTGTTGTGTTTGTGTGGATGTTGGTGTTTTTGTGTGGATGTTGGTGTGTGTTTGTGTTTTGTTTGTGTTGTGTGGATGTTGGTGTTGTGTGTGGTGTTGGTGTGTCTGTGTGGATGTTGGTGTTCCGTGTTTGTTTTTGTTGTGTTTGTTGTGTTGTTGTTGTGTGTGTGTGTGTTTGTTGTTTTGTTTGTGTGTCTGTGTGGATGTTGGTGTGTCCGTGTGGATTTTTTGTTTGTTGTGTGGTTGTTGTGTGTTGTGTGGATTTTGTTGTGTGTGTGGTTTTTTTTTTTTTTTTGTGTGTTTTTTGATGTTGTGTGTGTGTGTTGGATGTTGGTGTGTCCGTGTTTGATGTTGGTGTGTCTGTGTGGATGTTGGTGTTTTCCGTTTGGATGTTGGTGTGTCTGTGTGTTTGTTGGTGTGTCCGTGTGGATTGTTGTTTTGTTTGTGTGGATTTTTGGTGTGTGTGTGTGGATTTTTTGTGTGTTTGTGTGGATGTTTGTTTGTGTTTTTTTTTTGTTTGTTTGTTGGTGTGTTGTGTGGATGTTTGTGTTTTCTGTGTGGTTTGTTTGTGTGTCCGTTGTGTGTTTGTTTGGTGTGTCTGTGTTTTTGTGTGTGTGTCTGTGTGGATTTTGGTGTGTGTGTGTGTTTGTTGGTTTGTGTTTTTTGTTGTTTGTGTGTTTTTGTGGATTTTTGGTGTGTTTGTGTTTGTTTTGTGTGTGTGTTGTTGGATTTTGGTGTGTGTGTGTGGATGTTGGTGTGTTTGTGTGGATGTTGGTGTGTTTGTGTGGATGTTGGTGTGTTTTGTGTGGATGTTGGTGTGTTGGTGTGGATGTTGGTGTGTGTGTTTGGATGTTGGTGTTTTTTGTGTGGATGTTGGTGTTGTTTGTGTGGATGTTTGGTGTGTTTGTGTGGTTGTTGGTGTGTTTTTGTGTGTTTTTGTGTTTTTTTGTGTGTTTGTGTTGGATGTTTTTGTGTGTTTGTGTGGATGTTGGTGTGTCTGTGTGGATGTTGGTGTGTCCGTGTTTTTTTTTTTGTGTGTGTGATGTTGTGTTGTTTTTTTGGTGTGTGTGTGTTTGTTTGTGTGTCTGTGTTTTGTTGGTGTGTCCGTGTTTGTTGGTGTTGTTGTGTTTTTTTGTGTGTTGTGTGGATGTTTTTGTGTTGTGTGGATGTTGGTGTGTCTTTTGTGGTGTTTGGTGTGTTTTGTTTTTTTTGGTTTTTTTTGTGTGAATGTTGTGTGTGTTTGTGTGGATGTTGGTGTTTCTGTTTGGATTTTTTTGTTGTTTGTGTGGATTTTGGTGTGTTGTTGATGTTTTTGTTTTGTGTGGATGTTGGTGTGTCTGTGTGGATGTTGGTTGTTTTTGTTGTTGTTTTTTGGATGTTGGTTTGTCTGTGTTGTTTGTGTTTTTGTTTTGTGTTTGTGTTTTGTTGGTGTGTTTTTGTTTTTGTTTTGTTGTGTTTGTGTTTTTTTTTGTGTGTTTTTTTTTGGTTTGGTTGTGTGTGTTGTTTTGGTTTTTTTGGTGTGTTTGTGTGGATGTTTGTTTTTTTTTTGTGTGTGGATGTTGGTGTGTCTGTGTGTGTTGTTTGTGTTTTCCGTGTGGATGTTGGTATGTCTGTGTGAATGTTGGTGTGTCTGTGTGGATGTTGGTGTATCTGTGTGGATGTTGGTGTGTCTGTGTGGATTTTGGTGTGTCTGTGTGGATTTTTGGTGTGTGTCTGTGTGGTTGTTGGTGTGTTTGTGTGGATGTTGGTGTGTCTGTGTGGATTTTGTTGTGTCTGTGTTTTTGTTGGTGTGTCTGTGTTTGTTTTGTGTGTGTCTGTGTGGATGTTGGTGTGTCCGTGTGGATGTTGGTGTGTTTGTGTGGATGTTGGTGTGTTCGTGTGGATGTTGTTGTGTCTGTGTGGATGTTGGTGTGTCCGTGTGGATGTTGGTGTGTCTGTCTGTATGGATGTTGGTGTGTCTGTGTGGATGTTGGTGTGTCTGTGTGGATGTTGGTGTGTCTGTGTGGATGTTGGTGTGTCTGTGTGGATGTTGGTGTGTCTGTGTGGATGTTGGTGTGTCTGTGTGGATGTTGGTGTGTCTGTGTGGATGTTGGTGTGTCTGTCAGTAAAGTTGATTTTACTACACCATCTAAGGCAGGGGTCTCCAATCTTGTTCAGCACCCCCCCCCCCCTCCCCCTCCCAACCCAAATAAGTACAGGACAAGACCCCACGCCCCATCCCACCACCCTTAAGTATCGTACAAGACCACCACTTCCTCTTGAATATATAGCACAATATCCACGCCCCCCCCCCCCCGCCCCGCCCCCCACCCCTCTTCCCCATATTAACAAAATATGATTTTTAAAAAGAGGATGACAACAGATTTCGCACCAAGCGAAACAGAAAGTATGGACGTACGTTTTCCTCAGAATTTGGTTTTAACCTATAATTAAATGCCTGTGCAGTCATGTAAATTAGATTTGTAATTATACATATAGAAACTAATTTTAATTATACATATAGAAACTAATTTTAATTATACATATAGAAACTAATTTTAATTATACATACAGAAACTACTTATGAAAAAAGACTAAAAATTAACTTGGGTTTTGTTTAATGAATAGCTTAAACAATTTTGTTCAACTGTAAACAAAATATAATGGATTATTAGAAATACAAATGCACTCAATTTCAAATTGTGTGGCGCACGCTCCCTTGAAACCTCCTCGCCCCACACCTCCCTCGACCAACTCCGGAATGGAGATCACAGATCAAATTTAAAATGAAATTATGTGGTTTTTATATTATTTTTGAAAATTAAACTAAGTGATATGAAATACTACGAAGTGATATGAAATCCTAAGAAGTGATTTGAAATCCTACGAAGTAATATGAAATTATTAGACATTATATCAAATGAGATTTTATGAACTGACATGAAATGATATGAAGTGATACAAAGTGATATCCAGTGATACAAAGGGATATAAAGTGTTTCAAAGTGATACAAAGTGATATGAAGTGATAAGGAGTGATATGAAGTGATAGGAAGTGATATGAAGTGATAGGAAGTGAAGCCAGCATGCAGCCTACCTGCCAGCGCAACAGTATTCATCAGTGGACGGGCCGCAGCAGCCGAAGGAGCAGTGGAAGCTGCGGTAGCTGCTGCCCCAGTAGTTGTAGGCCGTGCAGTACTCACCAGACACCGGCTCTGTGGACAGTCACAGTCGGTCAGGCATCGGGCGTCATGCGAGTTCATAAAAGTGCAGTCAAGTACGGGGAAGTAAAGAGAAGTACAGGAAAGTACAGAAGAGCGCAAAGAAGTACAGTCAGCTACAGAGAAGTACAGTCAGCTACAGAGAAGTACAGTCAGCTACATAGACGTACAGTCAGCTACAGAGAAGTACAGTCAGGTACAGAGAAGTACAGTCAGGTACAGAGACGTACAGTCAGCTACAGAGAAGTATAGTCAGCTACAGAGAAGTTGTCAGCTACAGAGAAGTACAGTCAGCTACAGAGACGTACAGTCAGCTACAGAGAAGTACAGTCAGCTCCAGGGAAGTACAGTCAGGTACAGAGAAGTACAGTCAGGTACAGAGAAGTACAGTCAGCTACAGAGAAGTACAGTCAGCTCCAGGGAAGTACAGTCAGGTACAGAGAAGTACAGTCAGGTACAGAGAAGTACAGTCAGGTCAGAGAAACACAGTCAGCTACAGAGAAGTATAGTCAGGTTCAGAGAAGTACAGTCAGGTACAGAGAAGTACAGTCAGCTACAGAGACTTACAGTCAGCTACAGAGAAGTACAGTCAGCTACAGAGAAGTACAGTCAGCTACAGAGAAGTACAGTCAGCTACAGAGAAGTACAGTCAGCTACAGAGAAATACAGTCAGCTACAGAGAAGTACAATCAGGTACAGAGAAGTACAGAGAAGTGCAAAGATTTACAGAGAAGCACATATAAGTACAGAGAAATACAGAGAAGTACAGGGAAGTACAGAGAAGTACAGGGAAGCTAGAGAGGTACAGAGAAGAACAAGGAAGTACATAGAGGTAGTCAGGTACAGAGAAAAACAAAAAAGCACAGAGAAGTACAAAAAGTACAGAGAACTACAGAGAAGCACAGAGAAATATAGACAAGTGCAGAGAAGTACAGAGAAGTGCGGGAAAGTACAGTGAGGTACAGTCAAGTACAGAGAAGTACAGGAAAGTACAGTGAGGTACAGTCAAGTACAGAGAAGCACGGGGAACTACAGAGAAGTACAGAGAAGTACAAGGAAGTACAGAGAGGTAGAGAGAAATACGGGGAAGTACAGAGAGTTACAGTCAAATACAGTAAAGTACAGGGTAGAAAAGCGAAGTACATGGTTTGGGACGGTGTAACTTTTCGACAACTTCCTAGTTGTTTGATACTCTCGGGCCCTGGGCTTTTCTTTAGGCTTGTCTTTAGGCTTGTCTTTAGGCTTGTCTTTAGGCTTGTCTTTAGGCTTGTCTTTAGGCTTGTCTTTAGGCTTGTCTTTAGGCTTGTCTTTAGGTTTTTCTTTAGGCTTGTCTTTAGGCTTGTCTTTAGGCTTGTCTTTAGGTTTTTCTTTAGGCTTGTCTTTAGGCTTGTCTTTAGGCTTTTCTTTAGGCTTGTCTTTAGGTTTTTCTTTAGGCTTGTCTTTAGGCTTGTCTTTAGGTTTTTCTTTAGGCTTGTCTTTAGGCTTGTCTTTAGGCTTGTCTTTAGGCTTGTCTTTAGGCTTTTCTTTAGGCTTGTCTTTAGGCTTGTCTTTAGGCTTGTCTTTAGGCTTTTCTTTAGGCTTGTCTTTAGGCTTGTCTTTAGGCTTGTCTTTACACATGTTACATAAGTCGCTGGTTTTTTTTTTTTTGGTTTTGTGTCTTAGTGCATTGGCTGAGGGAGACGGAACCTCTACGGTTTTGCCGGATGTGTCATGGTGACACTTGTTTATAAACCACTAACTATGAATTGAACACACATACTTACAGGACTTCTGAGATCTGAAGTTCCACCTTAACAATGTGAGACACCGTGAGTTCACAAGCTTCACTACTGAACAATGTGAGACACCGTGAGTTCACAAGCTTCACTACTGAACAATGTGAGACACCGTGAGTTCACAAGCTTCACTACTGAACAATGTGAGACACCGTGAGTTCACAAGCTTCACTACTGAACAATGTGAGACAAGCTTCACTACTGAACAATGTGAGACACCGTGAGACAAGCTTCACTACTGAACAATGTGAGACAAGCTTCACTACTGAACAATGTGAGACACAGTGAGACAAGCTTCACTACTGAACAATGTGAGACAAGCTTCACTACTGAACAATATGAGACAAGCTTCACTACTGAACAATGTGAGACACCGTGAGACAAGCTTCACTACTGAACAATGTGAGACACCGTGAGACAAGCTTCACTACTGAACAATGTGAGACAAGCTTCACTACTGAGCAATGTGAGACAAGCTTCACTACTGAACAATGTGAGACAAGCTTCACTACTGAACAATGTGAGACAAGCTTCACTACTGAACAATGTGAGACAAGCTTCACTACTGAACAATGTGAGACAAGCTTCACTACTGAACAATGTGAGACACAGTGAGACAAGCTTCACTACTGAACAATGTGAGACAAGCTTCACTACTGAACAATGTGAGACAAGCTTCACTACTGAACAATGTGAGACAAGCTTCACTACTGAACAATGTAAGACAAGCTTCACTACTGAACAATGTGAGACAAGCTTCACTACTGAACAATGTGAGACAAGCTTCACTACTGAACAATGTGAGACAAGCTTCACTACTGAACAATGTGAGACAAGCTTCACTACTGAACAATGTGAGACAAGCTTCACTACTGAACAATGTGAGACACTGTGAGACAAGCTTCACTACTGAACAATGTGAGACACTGTGAGACAAGCTTCACTACTGAACAATGTGAGACACCCTGGGCTCACAAACTTCACTACTGAACAATGTGAGACACAGTGAGACAAGCTTCACTACTGAACAATGTGAGACACAGTGAGACAAGCTTCACTACTGAACAATGTGAGACAAGCTTCACTACTGAACAATGTGAGACACTGTGAGACAAGCTTCACTACTGAACAATGTGAGACACTGTGAGACAAGCTTCACTACTGAACAATGTGAGACAAGCTTCACTACTGAACAATGTGAGACACTGTGAGACAAGCTTCACTACTAAACAATGTGAGACACTGTGAGACAAGCTTCACAACTGAACAATGTGAGACACAGTGAGACAAGATTCACTACTGAACAATGTGAGACACAGTGAGACAAGCTTCACAACTGAACAATGTGAGACACAGTGAGACAAGCTTCACAACTGAACAATGTGAGACACAGTGAGACAAGCTTCACTACAGAAAAATGTGAGACACAGTAAGACAAGCTTCACTACTGAACAATGTGAGACACTGTGAGACAAGCTTCACTACTGAACAATGTGAGACACCCTGGGCTCACAAACTTCATTAGACATTCCCCAGACTGACCTGTTTAGGTCAATGAACAGGTCGACAGGTGTCCAGGTATTAGAGTACTCACCCAAACTGACCACAACCGTGAAGGCGAGCAGCAAAATGTTATCCATGACTGAAGTTAGCCAGGACTGACCTGTTTCTTTGGACTTAGCTCTTACAGGTGACGCGGCACTGCGACATCAAATACATGTACACAGATAGAGGTGATGTCACTTTCTACCGGTGCTGTTGGATTATATATATATATATATACACATGGACACACATGGACACACATATGCACACGATCACACGCACACAGGATAGAGGCATTATAGTAAGTGATGAACAACATATCATACACAAACAGACATATATACACACATACACAAACGCGCACACGCACATACGTACAAACATACACAGATGGTGTGTACACGCCATATGCGCTGTACGTACTGGGCTAGTGGATAATGACGAATCTCTGACACTAACACGATTTGGGAGTAAAGATTGGTGAAGCACATGTATGCAGCCTTCGAGGCCGAGACAGGAGACAATATAACCAGCTTCTCATGGGGACAATTAGTAAAAGCACCTTGGAGTGGCTGCTGCATCTGAGGACTGAGCACGCATGGGAATGATCAATGTGCAATGAGGTCGACTGTGATAACATAATATAATACACACATTCACACACATACACACATGCACACACATTCACACACATTCACACACATACACACATGCACACACATACACACATGCACACACATAAACATATGCACACACATACACACACTGCCTACCCAAATGACCTACCGTCAGCAAGATACTGATAACGTCATTCTGTATTGGTCATTAGGTCAAGAAATAACCGGATGTGGTCAGACTTCCGGCAAGATTCCAAGCAGCATTAGTTATCATCTCATTGTTATTTTTGACTTCATCATACAGTTACTGCTGACTGATATATCAGAGGTATATGTGTGTATGTGATTGCGTGAATGTGTGTGGTGTATGTGGTTGTGTGTGTGTGGGGGGGGGGGGGCTAATTTACTGCTGACTGACAGATCAGAGGTATATGCGAGCATGTGACTGCGTGGTTGTGTGGGAGTGGGGGGGGGGGGGGGGGTTAGGAGAGGGGTAATTTATTGCTGACGTACAGATCAGAAGTATATTACTGTGTGTGATTTTGTGTGTGTTGTTGTGTATGCGTTGTGTTGTGTGTATGTGTGTATGGTTGTGTGTGTGTGTATGTGGATAATTTACTGCTGACACATAAAGTGTAAGCGTGTGTCTGTATGTTTCTTACAGCTGAAACACACAGTGTAAGAGTGTGTCTGTATGTTTCTTACAGCTGACACATACAGTGTAAGCGTGCCTGTATGTTTCTTACAGCTGAAACACACAGTGTAAGAGTGTGTCTGTATGTTACTTACAGCTGGCACATACAGTGTAAGCGTGTGTCTGTGTTTCTTATGGCTGACACACACAGTTTAAGCGTTTTTCTGTATGTTTTTAACAGATGACACATACAGTGTAAGCGTGTGTCTGTATGTTTCTTACAGCTGAAACACACAGTGTAAGCGTGTGTCTGTATGTTTCTTACAGCTGAAGCACACAGTGTAAGCGTGTGTCTGTATGTTTCTTGCAGCTGACACACAGTGTATGCAAATGCGCGCGGAAGAGTGCGTACGTGTACTGACAGTCACGGCCTAAAGCAAGCCTGTACTCAGCACCACAAGTTGGTACACTTTATGTCCGTATTTCTTGCTGAGTACGACCGCACGGGCAGCCAGCCACCCCGGGTATCTACTGAAACCCGTCTGACCAGGAACTGGGGTGCTACGATCGGTCTAAACAATGTTTGTCGAATCTAATCGATAATTTGAATGTGATCGATAACCAGTGCAGGCTTTATTAAACAGGTAGAAATGGTACTTACATTCAAACTGAATAGAAGCAGAGACCCCGCGTGGCGAAATGGAAGGGCTAACAGAGAAAATAGTAACTGCCTGTGTCGTAGAAGCCTTGAAGACAAAGTTTAACATACACGGCTACTGTTATTTCAGTTAGTTCCTATAACATACGCAGCTGCTGTTATTTTGGTTAGTTCCTATAACATACGCGGCTGTTGTTATTTCAGTTAGTTTCTAAAACATACGCAGCTGTTGTTATTTCAGGAAGTTCCTATAACAAAAGCAGCTGTTGTTATTTCAGTAAGTTCCTAAAACATACGCAGCTGTTGTTATTTCAGTTAGTTCCTATAACAAAAGCAGCTGTTGTTATTTCAGTAAGTTCCTATAACATACACAGCTGTTGTTATTTCAGTTAGTTCCTATAACATACACAGTTGTTGTTATTTCAGTTAGTACCTAAAACATACGCAGCTGTTGTTATTTCAGTTAGTTCCTACAAGAAACGCAGCTGTTGTTATTTCAGTTAGTTCCTAAAACATACACAGCTGTTGTTTTTTCAGTTATTTCCTATAACATACGCAGCTGCTGTTATTTCAGTTAATTCCTATAACATACACGGCTGCTGTTATTTCAGTTAATTCCTTTAACGTACACGACTGTTGTTATTTCAGTTAGTTCCTATAACATACACGGCTGCTGTTATTTCAGTTAGTTCCTATAACATACACGGTTGCTGTTTCCTCGGTAAACTTCAACCCTTTTCAGGACTTTGTCTCTTTGTAATTTACCTCGGCAATTTTTCGTTCTGTTCTCTGCTACACTACCGATGAGTTAGGAGATATCTGAGGTCCGCTGTGTTAGGAGATATCTGAGGTCCGCTGTGTTAGGAGATATCTGAGGTCCGCTGTGTTAGGAGATATCTGAGATCCGCTGTGTTAGGAGATATCTGAGGTCCGCTGTGTTAGGAGATATCTGAGGGCCGCTGTGTTAGGAGATACCTGAGGTCCACTGAGTTAAGAGATATCTCAGGTCCGCTGAGTTAGGAGATATCTCAGGTCCGCTAAGTTAGGAGATATCTGAGGGCCGCTGTGTTAGGAGATACCTGAGGTCCACTGAGTTAAGAGATATCTCAGGTCCGCTGAGTTAGGAGATATCTCAGGTCCGCTAAGTTAGGAGATATCTGAGGGCCGCTGTGTTAGGAGATACCTGAGGTCCACTGAGTTAGGAGATATCTGAGGTCCGATGAGTTAGGAGATATCTGAGGTCCGATGAGTTAGAAGATATCTGAGGTCCGATGAGTTAGGAGATATCTGAGGTCCGATGAGTTAGGAGATATCTGAGGTCCGATGAGTTAGAAGATATCTGAGGTCCGCTGAATTAGAACATATCTGAGGTCCGATGGGTTAGAAGATATCTGAGGTCCGCTGAGTTAGGAGATATCTGAGATCTGCTAAGGTTGAAGATATCCGGGGTCCGATGAGTTAGAAGATATCTTAGGTCCGATGAGTTAGAAGATATCTGAGGTCCGATGAGTTAGAAGATATCTGAGGTCCGATGAGTTAGGAGATATCTGAGGTCCGCTGAGTTAGGAGATATCTGAGGTCAGCTAAAGTAGGAGATATCTGAGGTCCGATGAGTTAGGAGATATCTGAGGTCCGCTAAGTTAGGAGATATCTGAGGTCCGCTAAGTTAGGAGATATCTGAGGTCCGATGAGTTAGGAGATATCTGAGGTCCGCTAAGTTAGGAGATATCTGAGGTCCGCTAAAGTAGGAGATATCTGAGGTCCGATGAGTTAGGAGATATCTGAGGTCCGCTAAGTTAGGAGATATCTGAGGTCCGCTAAGTTAGGAGATATCTGAGGTCCTCTGAGGCTGGTCATATCTGAGGTTAAATTTGCTGAGGTAGGACAGGCGGGGTATGGTTACCAGCTCACCGCTTTGCCGTGTTTACTTCCCAGGCAGTTGTGACAATTCTATATCGACCATGTTTATGAGGCTGGTAAAGGCAAAGAGGTCTTGGAACTAATTCTACCTCATTCTAACAGCAGCTTTACTTGTCGTCTTTTACGACACGCATACAAGGTTGTAGGGCTACAATAGTGTGTTTCCAGTACACAACACGGTAACCACACATGTGTGCTTATCTGTCACAGTCTTATCCTGCATGCCCCACAGCAGGGTCTAGACTTGAGGAGGCCCTGTTAAAAAAGGCTCTGAGGGCCCTATTCTTTCAATGACATCAGCTGATCTCAGACAGACGATGTCATCAATGATGTTACGTGAAATCATGAACACGATATCAATGATGATGTTAAATAAAACACAAACACGATATCATTAACGATGTTACGTAGTATCAGAGAGACGATGTCATTGATGATATTATGTAAAATCGGGGAGTCGTTGTCATTGATGATGTTATGTAAAATCGGGGAGTCGATGTCATTGATGATGTTATGTAAAATCGGGGAGTCGATGTCATTGATGATGTTATTTAAAATCGGGGAGTCGATGTCATTGATGATGTTATGTGAAATCAGAGAGACGATGTCATGAATGATGTATTGTGAAATCAGAGAGATGATTTATTTGCTGCTGTTTTGTGAAACCAGAGAGAAGATGTCTTTAAAATGTTGTGTGAAATCAAAGATGCGATGTTTTTGATGATGTTATTTTAAATCAAATAGCCGATGTCTTTGATGATGTTACATGAAATCAGAGAGACGATGTCATTGATGATGTTACGGGAAATCAGAAAGACGTTGTCATTGATAATGTTGTGTGAAATGAGACAATGACATTGATGACGGTATGCGAAATCCGCGAGATGATGTCTTTAATGATCTTTCGTGAAATCAGACAGAAGATGTCATTGATGATGATAGTTGAAATGAGACAAACGATGTCATTGATGATGTTATGTGAAATCAGAGAGAATTTGTCATTGATGATGTTATGTGAAATCAGAGAGACAATTTCTTTGATGATGTTATGTGAAATCAGACAGACGATGTCATTGATGATGATTGGTGAAATGAGACAGACGATGTCATTGATGATGACTGGTGAAATCAGACAGACGATGTCATTGATGATGATTGGTGAAATGAGACAGGCGATGTCATTGATGATGATAGGTAAAATGAGACAAACGATGTCATTAATGATGATAGGTGAAATGAGACAAACGATGTCATTGATGATGTTAT